AGCAGGCTTCTGGCAGACCAGGAAGCCTGATGCAGGGCTCAGTCCCAGGACCCTGGGATCATGACCTGAGCCGAAGGCAGACACTTAACGACTGAGCCACCCAGGTGCCCCTCTCCAGAATATTCTTAAGTTACCTGGAAACTAGCTAAGAAATACTTTTTTTTTTTTTTTTAAGACACCCAGGTTTGAGTAATTCATTCTAGATACAATCTATGCTGAAAGTCTAGACTTTCCTACAATCTGCCATCTTGCACCTTTAGTCCTTTTTTTATCTGGCTCAGTTCTTGTTAGAGCTAAGGAATAGTAAGTAACTAAAGGAACTAAGAATAAAAGGGTTTATATAAACCTTCATGTTCACACTTTAGGGAAGATAACATTCAGTGTTTTCTAACTAGTGGCCCACTAGCTGAGTAGATAGGTGTGAGAAAGAAGAAGGAGTTGGTAATAACACCCGAACTTCATGGGGATACTTGAACTACCTTTACAAACCTACAAGTGACCCAGTTCCTGTAATGCCTCAAAACTATTAATGAATCACAGTGCTTACAGAAATAGTTATGACTTCTTCTCGGGCATTCAAAGCCTACTTTTACTCCAAGAATACCCTGAAGCATACCTTTAACATAAGGTCTATGAATCAGAAAATAATTATTCTAATTTTATTCATTTTTTTCCTCTTCTTCAAACTCCCTCTCATCTCTTAAAATGTTTATCTCATCTATATATTTGTCTTCTACCAACCCATTCATCTTCCTCATCCTTTATCCTACAAACGACATGCCTTGTTAAACGGCTGGCAGGGACACTGTTCTTTCTACCTAGGAGCCATCCTTCCTCTTTTTTTTTTTAAATTTTTTTATTGTTATGTTAATCACCATATATTACATCGTTTTTGATGTAGTGTTCCATGATTCATTGTTTGTGCATAACACCCAGTGCTCCATGCAGAACGTGCCCTCTTTAATACCCATCACCAGGCTAACCCATCCCCCTACCCTCCTCCCGTCTAGAACCCTCAGTTTGTTTTTCAGAGTCCATCATCTCTCATGGTTCGTCTCCCCCTCTGACTTACTCCCCTTCATTCTTCCTCTCCTGCTATCTTCTTTTTTTTCTTAAAATATGTTGCGTTATTTGTTTCAGAAGTACAGATCTGTGATTCAACAGTCTTGCACAATTCACAGCGCTCACCATAGCACATACCCTCCCCAATGTCTATCACCCAGCCACCCCATCCCTCCCACCCCCAACCACTCCAGTAACACTCAGTTTGTTTCCTGAGATTAAGAATTCCTCATATCAGTGAGGTCATATGATACATGTCTTTCTCTGATTGACTAATTTCACTAAGCATAACACCCTCCAGTTCCATCCACGTCGTTGCAAATGGCAAGATCTCATTCCTTTTGATGGCTGCATAATATTCCATTGTGTATATACACAAAATCTTCTTTATCCATTCATCTGTCGATGGACATCTTGGCTAAGCCATCCTTCCTCTTACAAATCAGTGTGGCACCAGACTTTCAGTGTTCAAAACACTTGTCTAAAGGTATCATAAATTTACTTCTAACCTCTCGAGGCAGGCTAATGATAACGTGCCTTCATATGTAACTTCTACCAATTAGTCCTAGTTTTTCTTTCATTATTTCTATGGATATGCAGAACCTTTCACAAGAGTGTTTGAAATATTCGAAGCCAAAAACAGTATCATCTTAAGGATCCTGGAATATCTGAAGTGCAGGAAGCTCATGTTTTTCAAGTGAGTTTTCCAGGGAATCTAATCAAACTAAGACTATAACCCTTTTCTTCCAAGATCTCTCTAACCTGTTCTCTGCTCTTATCCTAATCATGACTTAAAAATCTGGGCAGTCGCAGACATTTCTAGTCACTTAGGGCCCCTGGATATAGGATAGAGAACTCTTACATAGACCAGCACTACTCAGGCACTAAGAAATGACAACAGAAAACATGGCAGGAGGGCAAAATAATTACTTTTCACACCCTGGACCACAGGTAAAACAATGTGCCTTATTTAATAAATAGTAAGTACTAATTAATAACTCAATAATTAAGTAATAATCCTTAATAAGGGTCTGCCATGGCTCCTGGTGAAAAAGATTGTTATGTTTGCTTTATGTACTATTATAAGAAAAGTGTATTAGAGCATATTAAGTAATGGATTGTATAATCTACCAAAATTTTAATGAGATACTTGAGTAGGCTTGGTTTACAGAGAGAACCACACCAACAGTATTCAAATAGAACTGTAACTGTGGTACATTTCTGCATGGTTTGAAAAATAATTTTATCACTCTGAAAACTTAATAATTAAATGGTGAGAGTCAAGTAATTAATCCCTCCTCAGCTGGGAAGCTCATTCTTAGAAGAACATGACTCCCTGTGAGGAAATGACTGTTTGTGAGCTCTTCTTTTCCTCCTCCTCCCTTTCTGCCTCCTTCATTCTCTCCTTCCTTTCTCTTTCTTTATTTCATTCTAGCATAGTTTCTCGTTGACTTTAATTGATAATCCTTTTGCTTCACTGGGCTGCCTCAAGGCCTAAAGATCTGCTAAACCATTCACTCATCCTATCAATAATAATACTCCAGTGCTCAGAAAACAAGCCGGAATTGGAGAGTCCACAGGAAGTGGGGAGAAGGGCACTGCATCTACGGGGCAGAAACTAGCAGGACTGAAGGCAACTGCTCTACCCAATCCTGTTGCAAAAAGGTGTGTGTGGGGCTTGGGGGGGTGGGAGGGATCTTTAAGTGCCGAATGGCCTGTGTTTGATCCTCAGTTTTACTTCCTTTTCTAAACCTCTAGGACTTCAGCGTTCCCTAGCAACAGAAGCAAAGGATCAATTTAGAAAAGTGCTTTCCAGAGCATTCCTATCTAGCTACTGACCAAGCCATTTTAGTTTATGTGATCAAGCACTTGAAATTCAAGGAGATTTATCACTGACTGTCCTCAGCAGCAAAACTGGGAGAGCACCGCTTGATATGTGTGCTACAAATGTCTAAGATGACTGATTCTACCTCCACTGCACAAGCATGGATTGGTTTCAGTAAGAATTAGTAGTCTCTGCATCTCACTGTGAGCCGACAGTGTTGCTAGGGAAACTGATAATTATGTGGCAAAATGGAGGGTGTAGAATAGGAAAAGGGTTCAGAAGAAATATAAGGTTTTGATCCAAATCAGCATGTTAATAGTAGAGTTTGTTGATCTTCTGTAGTCCCATAATTTAATAAATACCATTAATTATATGTTTGACAAGATACAGATTTCTGAATGGAAATAAATGAACAGAAATGAACTGAACACTGGAAAGCCACTGGCTACTGATCATACTTGGTGCATGTCACAGCAGAAACACTTATTTATTATAAACTACAATTAACTTAATGGAATGAAAATAGTCAGAAAGGTGAAAAAAACCATTGATTTTTTTTTTCCTGACCTTTTTCTTTAGAAATCAATCTTCTGGAGTTCCAGATATAAAAATTATAATCCTATAAAAGCTTTTATTCACCTCAGTGACCAAGTCACAAAACCTCAAAACACCCGTTAGTATGGAAAAAACAGAAGTGTTACTATTTTTATATTATACATAGTAAAACCAATCCAGAGATGCTAAATGACCTTCCTGGAGACACACAGCTCTACAGTTAGTGGTAATGCTGGTGCTAAACACTACTCTTTAAGCTACCAAGGGGGCATTATTTACACATTATATTTTATTAAGGGAAAGCCCAGCAAAAGGATATAAATGTAGTAAATGGTCTCGAATTTCTAGATCACACTTTAATGTTAATGAAGATTTCCAATACTTTTTATTTTTAATGATTAAGAGTGCAGTTCTAAAAGTTAATGATGGGCGCCTGGGTGGCTCAGGTCATGATCCTGGAGTCCCGGGATCGAGTCCCGCATCAGGCTCCCTGCTCAGCAGGGAGTCTGCTTCTCCCTCTGACCCTCTTCCCTCTCGTGCTCTCTATCTCTCATTCTCTCTCAAATAAATAAATAAAATCTTAAAAAAAAATAAATAAAAGTTAATGATGTGATATAAACACTTGTGTATCAAGAGAAGTCTCGTTGGAGACATTTCAGTATGTGAGAAAGATCATCAGAGAACTAAACTGGTTGCTCATTAGTGAACAGTTTCCCTGCATTGTCAGATCACCACCTGTGAGTTGTCTGGTGCTGCTTCACAACATTCTGTTCCTTTCCCCTTTTCCGGGAACTATTAGGTAAAAACTTCAAAAGACGAAACCAAAGGTTTTATATCCTCCTGTGTATTTATCTTTATAAACTCTTATACATCTTCTAATTTATAAATATATTATAGATATTAAAACATTCATTCACATTCATATACACACAACCTCTGTATGGATGTGTGTTTGTGTGAGAAAACAAGTGACCGTTTTATGGCTGGTGCATAAAATAAGACAAACATTTATGATAGCAAATGTTTCCAGGGTTTTGATCTTATTTGCTCTTTGACAGGAAAGACTGAGAAGTATAGAGAGAACACCAAGGTAAGAGCACAAAACTATACAGAACTTCTTAACTCAATGAATTCCAAGTGCTAGAAGCAGGGAGTCAGCCTTCTGATGTTAGGAAAGACATTTTCATTCTAATGACTTAAAAGTTGCAAGATTTACTTATTAATACATAAGTAGTGGCTCACCCTAGATGGGATGAACTATCATGGTAAGGTAGTTTATTTACTTATATTTTTAAGGTAGTTCATTAAGTCTATCAGTATTATGATGACTTAAAAATATTTGGCTTAAGTTGCAATTTTGTTATTTCCTTTCATCAAGGCATTGGTTTTTAATAAAACAAGAGCCAAATAATGGGTTCTTATTTTGATAAGACTTTTCTTCTTTCTCATGGCAGGAAGGTTGTCTCAACTTTTAAATCTCTGGGTAAGAAAAAGAAGAATGTAAGGCCAAATTTTATAGTCACTGGAAACAATTTTTGTGGTTGGTTTATAAACAAACCTTGACTTAGGCCATCTTGACAAGATGTCTGCTTGACATCCAAATTCTCCATGGTATCTCCTTTAGAGACGTCACCAAGAGATGTTCTTCTTTCAAAGATGTTGTTGTTATTGTTAACTTGAGTCCCATTTTGCTTCAGTAGTCTGAACACCTCAGCTTCCAAATCTCTAATCTAAGGGGGGGAAAAAATCCATCCATAAAACTCTAAGCCAGCACTCCTCTCTAAGTACTCAGCAAAACCATCCTATCACTTAGTGGTTTTGAGCACATAACTCACCCGTACTTGCAGACCTTGAACTTCCACAAGATGAGCTTTTTCCAAATCTTCTATTTTCTTTCTTTCTGCTTCCTGTCTCTTGATGAAATCAAGTTCTCTTAAGAAAAAAATAAAAGATCTGATGGCATCAAATACTCAATAACTGAGGAAACATGTAAAAGTTCTTATCTGAAGCAATAAACTGCACAGTGGGACAAATAACTGGGCAGCTATTTAAATAAACAAGACTCAATCACAGTTAGAAGAAAGGTGTCTAATAACGAAAGCAAATAAAACGTTTTAATGGATCGGAAATTAAAGAAGAATGCTTGGATTCTGCTTACTGGGGTTTTCGTTTGTTACCTCCTGATTCTAGGGCACCCATACAGGTCTAGAGAGAAGCTACTGAACTAGCGACCCACCTTGGCTGATTCAGTGGAAATGACTACATGTGACACAGTCATAATGCCATATTTACAAAGTCAAACTTCCTAAACCGATGGGACTGGATGGTAAGAGTTTACAGAAGATAATTATAATTTGCTTTCTACGAATGACAGCGGCAAAGGACTGGGTGGGTCAGAAACACGGAGGGGGAGCTGTCGCTTACGCACCAGAGGATAATATGGGGAGAAGGAGAAAATATCTCCATTCTGAGAGCCTGGAATACAACCTGCAAATCTGGCAACATTTACTATAGAAGTTATCACATAAAATACAATTAGGTATGACATTTTTGGCTGGAAGAGTTAAAATAGCGATGTACTGGATTCATGACCGCAAAGAGTAATTTCCCCCTTTTCACAATAAATATTTTATAGTAGTCTACTTTAAGTATGAAAACTATTATTTCTGTGATAGGAAGTAACAGAGATGTTGTGAATCTTACACATATGCTTAGCTTCTAAGGCTTGGCCTGAAAGACCAGAAGTGGTCCGGCACGACTCTATTGTTCTGGCTGGCCAGAGGTACCTGATGAAAAAAATCCAGTAACCATCTCCCTGAAATTACACCAAAATCCAACAGAGGGAAGCAAAGCAGCACTCGTGTGGAAAGAGCTGATGAGATTCAAAAGCAGAGTGTGCTGCTGGACTCTCTCACTGCAGTGAACTGAGCCCCTGGTGATTCTCTCAACAGCTGAGCAGCGGAAAATGGGAGGGCAGGTGGTCTTGCTAGTCGAGATTTACACTATCTGAGGTGGGAAAGTTCTGCAGTCCCTGATTCTAACAAGAGAGATAGAGGAAGCCTCTGCAAGGCCCCAGTTGCTGCTTTGCAATGGTCAGTCATTCTGCGTGCCTTCGACTGGGCTTCTTGCTTGCTTCCTACTCAGAGCTGTTCCCAAAAGGACAGAGATTCACATGTTTTCATAGTTACTAGGAATGACTGACTATCAAAAAGAAACCAGGGGGTAACCAACAGCCAAGAACTGTAAAATAAACCAAATATAATCTCACATGAAAAATGATAGAAGTGATTTCCAAAACTGAATGTCTGAATGCCTGAATGCTTTATAACTGCTTAAAGAATTACCAAGATTATCTTCTCTATTCTGTTAGATGTTACAAAATTGCTGGATACAAGACTTCTTTAGATGCACACAATTATTCCTTAGTCATTAAAAGCTGCTTACTTTTGTTGAAAATCCTTGATCAACTTCTTTGCTTTGTTGTATTTCTTCTCCAAGGCCTGATACTGGCTCTGAGTCTCCTTGAGGTGCTCGTTCACTGTGTGGCATAAGGTCTGAGCCTCAATCCAGTAGCTCTCCAACTTCAGCATTCTCTCTTTATTCTCTTCTATGTTCTGTTGGAGTTGGGTTTTTTCTAGTTCCCACCTCACTTTCTCATTTTCTGCTGCTTGCAGCTGGATAAAGCAAATGTCAAGGCAAGGATAGTCTGGGTATTCTGCAGCAAAATCCGTCATGTTTTTATACCATGTTTTAAATCAAGTTCCACTGTCACCTAGACTCAATCATCTAGAACCTTGAGATGAGAAGAGTAAAACTTATTTTCAGCATTTCAGAGATTACGAGATGGAAGCCTTGAAAAGGGAAATGCTTTGTCCAACCGAGGTCACACATCTGAGAAATAATAAAACCTGGACTTGATTTCCCCTCCCATGATCTTTCCATTGCACCATGTGGTTTGAAATTCTGTGAGCAGTACATACTGTTTTAGAGTTTGACTGGATTCTATCCAATGAACTTCAATGTACCTTCTTTTAGACGTTTTTCCTACATATAATTAGATGTAAAAAACTAATTGAAAAGTGGAAGGGGGAGAGGCACACTGGGAAGGAGAGAGAGGCAGAAGCACAGTTTGGCCTAATAGTAAGAAGGGGTCTCTGGAGTCATTCAGTTTAGAGTTGAAGCCCAGCTCTACCATTAGTGGCCTTTAAACCTTGGGCAAGTAACTGAAGCTCTCCAAGACTCAGGTATATTATCTACAAGATGGAATTGTGATGTAACACAACAACATGCCTGGAACAGCTCTGGGGGCATAATCTGATAAATGTTAGTTATTTTTACTTTGTTTTTTATCCCTTTTAATAATATGATTACATCCTTTATTTCAACTGACATGAACATAGTCTGTAGCTCATTATTTTGCTGGCACTGTTCTGAATTTCCAGAGCCTTATAAACTTCAATTTGCATAAAAGTGTAAAAGATAGTGTAAGTAAAAATATAAATCATTGCTGACTTATTTTAAATCCCTCTGATGGAACAAAAAGGCAGCTTCCTGTGTTTCTGCTTCCAGAGACTCTTAGGAATAGATGGTATACTACTCCGACTCCCTTATTTCTAGGGAAATTCAAGGCTGATCCTTTAGGTAAGGGGTCAAAGGTCATTTATTCACACTAATGGACCTTTAAACTAGTGCTTCATCTAGTTCACATGCTTCCTTTCACGTTCAAAAGGATGCAGTCATTATAAACTAACAATTTTCAAAATCGAAGACATCCCCAAACCATACCACATTCAGCAAATATATATATATATATATCTTTTAATGTATATTTTAAACTAAATACATTGACAAAACAGATTACAAAGTAAAAAAAAAAAACATTTCAAAATGAGGAATTCTATTATCAACATGGATATAAAGTGTCACATTAAAGTAAGCTACTATAGCTAGTACATGCCAATATAATAAAGAGAAAAATACACAATACTAATTTATAGGATTTTCTAAATTAAATGTTTTTGGTCTAACATAAGCTTTGTTAAAGCACTTACAATCCACAGGGGAATCTTTGTCCCTGGTTATAACCAACAATTAAAAAAAATCTGTTCTTCCATTCTGTGCTAAGAAACAATAGCAATTTAAAACAAGACTAGGTTTTTCCTGCATCTTTTATTAAGCAATGTTTTGTATTCAAGTTGCTTATTTACCAACCACTACTAATTTAAAAATGATTATTCACAGAGCTTGGCTGACACCATGAATGATGTATAGACATGTTTTGGCTTAAGAGCTACAGAGTTATTAGCTGAGAATACCATTTAACCAAAACAGCCCTGCTAATTCATCTCCATTTAAAACACATGGAAAAACCAAAATAAGTGTTCAGTGTGAACAGGAAAACAGATCATTAGTGGTGGAGGGAGAAATTATGTATTAGTTTTTAAAAGACCACAAAAACAATAAAGAATATTATTTTTAAAGTAATTCAAAAAATATTTTTAAATCCTTGAAATTACATATTTGATAAACCTAGACACAATTCTAGGAATTTACAAGTACCTTATAATTTACCAACTAAACATGCCCTTTCGAATCTTGTATTATTTCATATATAAACTAAAAATACATACTCCCCTTTTATCAAAACCTGTTTCTTTCCACAAATTTAAATAATGCAAACTAAACTCATCTAAAAATTTCCAGTAGCATCTGGCATCTAAAATCAATTATTCACATATCATATTAAATTTCATAATATTTAATTATTAGAAATTGGAATTTTTTTCTATGAAAAAGTATTAAGGTGCTACATTAAAATACATTGTTTCTGATGAAGAAGTTAAAAATAAGTAAACGAATAAACCTATTTAAAGTAAGATAAATAAAGAGAAAGATACAGCGTAATAGCTTGTATAATGTAACAGCATAATTAGTGGTCAAAACATAATTCGGATGCTAGAACCATTAACATTATTTAATTTTTGAGGAACTCTCAGAGGGAACTGGCCACATATGTGCAAATATGTAAATATGTACTTTTAAAACGCCGTGCTATTTTCACTGAGGGAGTATGGTGGTGCTTACCCCCTAGGGGCATGTGTCTCACTGGCAGGTCTGTCTACTTATCTAACAGTGGAAATGAACCTCTCACATTTGTATTCTTTCAAATGCACAGGAACAAATCCTTTAGTCCTAGGGTTGAATTTATTCATAGCGTCCGAAGTTTAAAAAGTACAATTCAAACACCATTTAATGGTGCTTACCTTGGTCTTCAATTTTTGAATCTCTGCTTCTGTAACTGCATGTTTGATTTGCAACTGAAAATTGAAAAGAAAGAAAAAAATCTGAACTAAGAAAGTGTATCTATATTTTGGAAGCCTTGGCGGCTAGAAGAATACCTTATCACATAGCAGACGGCCCAGGAAAGTGCTGCAATGCAGCAGGTTGTAAATTAAAATGTCTAGTGTGTAAAATGACTCACTAGGTGCACACTAATGAAACACGGGGTCTATGGCCCACACTCCCTAACGGATTAGGTTACGAATTTAAAGTCTCGGGGACTAAAGAAAAGACAACACATTTTCTAGCCCTCTCTGCAGCTCTTCCTCTACGATTTGGGTGTCAGGGAACTGTTGGAGAGCCGGGAGCCTTGTGGACCGCCCGGTTCGGGCAGGCAAGCGGGCCGGTGGCAGAGCGAAGATCCGATTCCGAATCTGGAAGAAAGATGGCGCTATGGTTCCGCGAGTCCCACGCACCGAAGGCCGAGCAGCTCCTCCACAGCTCCGGCAGCTGCCAGACGGAAGACCAGGATGCTGCAGTTCCACAGCGACATCGGTGGTGGTTGTTGTTGTTGTTGTTTTTAATTGCAGGAAAGGTACAGATCCAGATTTTTGTCCCCCCCAAAATCGACTCCTATGGAGGACCCTGACCCCCAAAAGCTTTGGATGCAGTTTATTAGCACGCGAGCCGCCGTTTCCATTTGTCTGACTTCTCCCCTCCCCCCGCTTTGTTTTCTCTGTAAGGGTGAGAAGAACAAACGAAACATTCATTTCCTCCAGGGATAAAGAAATGCACCAATATTTACAGAAAACAATCTGCGGGTTGAAAGTCTCTTCTCCGAAATCCTTGGGGCCAGATGTCTTTAGAATTTAGAATTCTTCCAATTTCAGAAAGGCAGGGAGATGCATTTTCCATAAATTGCCTATTACCCACAGCTTGGTCCATGGAGGCACTCTGTGATCAAATACACGAGTATTTTTGCCACCAAACATACGTATTTCCCACTAAGTGAGGTAAATAATAGAGACTATAAATAGCATCCTGTCTGTTTTGGTCAGGTTTCCCACCAAATGAGTTTGCCACAAAATTATTTTAAACAAACTGTTTTCAGAGCATTTTGGATTTAGAATTGTACAAGAAGGGTTGCAAATGTTTAATATTGCTATGATCAAATGAGTCTAAGGTTTTCTTACCAGAAAAATTGAGTCAGTTGATGGGAGGATAGAAATGTGCACCTTGGAGGTCAGGACACCTCACAAAGCTCAGCGATCTTTGGTTTATGACTTGCTTTTCCCTGGTTTTCAGCCAGCCAGCTGGGACACAGGGGAAGGATGGAGAGGGGGGATGCTCCCACCTGCATGCGGTCGAGTCTCCTGTTATGTTTAAGGCCCTGTGGTCTACACTGCTACAGCTCTGCTAACTGTTCTCGGTCCTGAGGTGGTGGTGGGAGGGGAGGGGATTCTTGAAACTTTTAAAATTGATTCTGCCCCACTCTCATCATTTCTCTTTCTTTACCACTTCCTGATCTGCACACTCCTGCAGTCTCGCCAATGTAGCCCTTGCTCCTTCCACCCTCATTGGTTCACAGGGGCTCCTGAGCTCTAACAGTCTCTGGACAGGAAGGAGTCTTGGGTGCTGCTGTCATTCCTTTATGAGGCCCCTAACAGGCAGCCCTGGCTCTCTTGGTTTCTCTCCATGGCCTTAGTGGTACAACACTTAACCTACCTACTTTTAGGAGTTGCTCAGAGCAACAATCTACGAGGCAAGTGCTGCTCCAAATTCATGGCAACTCCCTTCCACCTTGCTGATGAGGTCTGAGCTTACCAACAAAGCCCTAGTCTGGATGAATCTCTCAGAACCTGACAATGCCAGGCAACCTGGCCTGACATGCTCAAATGACCAAGTGTATGTATAACTCCAGCTCTGAGCCCTACAGTGAACATGTTACTTGCAGAATCACCAATCCTGGCATTTCTGGCCTCCCTTGAAGATGTAGATGAAAACTGAGCTGGCTTAGTTGTTACAGTGAATTGCTGTTAAAACCATGACTAGAACCTAGAGCTTCTGGTTCCTGATCCAGTGCCATTTTCCTTAGAAAATAAGGATTGAGTCAATAGGCATTTATTGAAGAGCTGCTATGGGCAAGATGCTATGAGGAGAAAGGATGACTCTTTCCCCTTCTAATAAATACCAGTGCTTATCTCCTCCACCAACAGAAACCTGATAAACTGAAAATGGCAAGATACTTGGATATTAGACATGCTACCTTATATATATAAATATATCCATGTACACATGCACACGTCTAGGCTGTCAGGAATTATTTTCTGTGGAGATCTTATACTTCGGTGGGCACACACTCGGGCATCCAGCAAATCCATGTGCCTAGGTGATTCTGAAGTATCTGGGATTGTTGCTGACAAGAAGAGTGACTCTGTGATCTTTCTACCATGGCCAAGTGTGAAGCTAGACTGAATTCATCTCAGGCCTACCATGAAAGGACTCCATGACGCTGGAAAATCACCGACCCTCTCTTACCTTCACTTTGCTCACTTGTACGATGCAGTTCCTCATGGGTCATAACCTTCTTTATTGGAAGATTAAATGAGATAACCCACGTAAAGCTTTTAGCACAAGTGGCTAGCACAGAATAAGCCATTTAAAGTTAGCCCAGACTAAGACAAGAATGATCTGAAGAACTCAGATGTAATCACCACAACTGCACTTCTTAGTCAAGAGTGCTAAATTCTGTAAAATGTCACACCTGAAATAAAACAAACACCTCTGCTTCTATTTGAAGAGTAGCAAGAAATCAAAAGGGCAGATTTTACGACGAATGCTGCAACCATGGGAAAGTGCCAGATTTGATTTTCTCCGTGGCCGACTCCCTTCAACTGCAGGGTAACCAAGTATATGGCATGCAGCTTTGTTGGGACGTTGGATTTTCTTTGTTCAGATCACTGTGACCGACAGCAAGCTGCTTCTCCGGGCCCCGGCTTCCCCTGAAAAATGAGAGACCTGGATGGGAAGAACTCCAAGGCCCTTGCAAATACTACAGGTGTGACATTTACGAAATGAAGAGCCTGGAGATGGTTGTCATGGTTGCAGAGTCTAGAAATTCCTGTCTCAAAGTGAGCATGTTTATTCCTATGAAGACATATACAGATTAATCCACTGATGTGCGGGGCAAACCCAGGTAAAACTGAAACTGCCAGGTTGATCTCCACATATCCCACCCTCCCCTCCCACCAAAATGGGTAACAGAAGACAGTAGAACTCATTAGTGGTGAAGGGAGAGCACTGATAAAAGCTTGGAGTGCTACTAAGTACAGCCAAATTCTCTGGATATAGGAAAAACAGACTGAGGTCTGTAAATTCAGACATTATTTAGGAGACGGACAAAAGTTTCAGCTCAATGTTTTCTTAGAATTCCCAAAGCCTAAAATGACAAGACATGTAATTATTTTAAGGCTGTATGCACATTAAGAGAATTTCTACAAACCCATCTCTATTAACAGGAAAAGTATCAAAAATAAACTAATTGAACCTTCATTTTACGTAGGAAGAAACTGTTTCAGTAGTGCATGCTGCAGAGCTAATAAGTGTCAGAGCCAGGTTTTGAACATTTCAGTCCATGGTTCCTTCCACTAAATACCTTACATTTGTAGGACACTTGATCTTTTTTATCATCTCCTTTATCATTGCAAATGAGGCTGTGAGGGAAGGCAGACAGACACAGTCCACCTCATTGTTCAGACAGGGACAGAGGCCCAGACAAGTTACATGGCTTCTTCAAGTTCCCAGTGGAAGCAGGTGATGCAGTGGAAAATATCTCGGGTCTGACTCTCCCTACCTCTCTTCACCATGCACCTAAATCAGCTAATCCCCACAAAAACTCTTGAGCCTTATATCATCACTGTGACTTCCTGGTTGAGGAAGTATTACTCCTCCTGGAAACCATGGATCACTTCTGGTAGCCTCTGAGTGTTCTGACACTAAATACAAAATGGCGCTCCATCAGCTACTGTTATTATTTGTGGAATTTAGGAAGAAATAGCTCCCTCATTATTCAACTAGCATTTACCTAATGACACTGTGCTGTGCTCGTCACATGACACAGAACCTACCTTCAAAACACTTACTTTGGGCGATTAATAAAGACCACCTTCTGAGAGAAGTTCTTAGATCACCCTGAGAGAAATATCACAGGGAACCTGCTCCTAGATGGCCTGATTAATCTTTTATTCCCATAGCCGGGTCAGATGACCCTTAGGCTTTGGCCTATTTGTCTTATCTCCCACCTTGGCATATGGGCAGGATGAGACCGAGATACCTCTATTTCACAGAGAGGAACAGAAAATTGCTTTTCAAAGAGGTGAAGTGACTTGACAACAGAAGCACAGTTGGTGAAAGGTCGTGTTTTCTTATTCCAGAGCAGTTCTCTCTCCATGTGTTTAATAACCTTTCCAAAGGAGAGATCAAGGGTTTGCACATCACCACCTGAGATTGGTCAGGCTGACTGTCGGGCAACAGGATTGGTTCATAGAAACTGAGCCTAAAACACCTGTTGGAATTTTGGGGCTTCAGAAAATCTAGATTTAGAGAGAATACTTGGGCAGAGAGGATATAAATAAAAAGAAAAGGTTAAGGATTGCAGGTCAGTGTCTTAACTTAAAAGACCAATCTCATCTCTTCTGTCATCTTTTAACGTGAATGCCAAAGATGTCCACCCTGGGATCACAGCACAAGTAAACACATGCCTCCTACAGAGAACAGAAGCTCTTACATAACATTCTGCAGGTGTACCTGCTGTGTACATTTTGTTTATTTCTTTCAAAAAGATGAATACAGAACATGTACCCTATCACTGAATCAATACAATCCAAATATAACTGCGCTAGAAATAGAAACATCCTTATACACTTTCTTCACCTATCCTGTGCAAGAATGGAAAACATTTTTCTTTAGAAAGTGCAAAATACTATCTTTGCAGCAAAGGTTTTAAGAGCTCTCTAGTGCTAGAGATCTTACAATCAGG